CTTGAAACTCTGAACTATGTTTTTTTATTTTCTTTAGTGTGAGAACTAGTACTTTGTGAGTTTTTTCTTTCTTTGAATCGTGATGTGGAACTTTGTTATGTGTAATAACCTCTCCTCGAGCGAGAATGTGCGAGTGTTTGTGTTTGTTTTGTCTTCTCTTTGAAGCTCAAACATCCTACCCCAGTAACTTGTCCAACTTTCATTCACCAAGCCATGCGGTAACATCGTTCTACCCCCTATTTTGCCGTTAAGGGCAATGTCGATCTTAAGTGTGGTGGGGGGTGGGTAGTTTATTATTATGCTTGTGTGTGTGATTGAATGCTTGGAGCCTTGATGTATGCCAAAATTTGAAAATTTTGAGGGCTTCAAGCAATGCATGATCAAAATGGTCGGTTGGTGGGTGAATCTCGTGTTTATGTGGCATTGACCTTGAATTGTTGCATGTGATCGAGTGCATCCTATTATGATGACTGAGAGTGCATTAGGTGTGTGAAAAAGTTTAGTTCTCTTGTGTGCTTAAATTAATGGATGTCTTGACTTGGTTACTCTTTGATCACAATTGCCTTACATAGAAGTTCGTGAAATTGGAATAAATTATTGGGTGGCTAGGTAGCCATGTGAGATTTGTGTCGATCGTCTTTTCATGTGTGTTAGATCCCTCTCGCCATGCTATGTAATATTCACTGTTGTCACTAGTGAGTATGATGGAGGCATAGGATTAGCCCACGCCCAAAAGTTGATTGTCCCGAAATATGTTATCCCTTAGTCAATCTTTTTGAGTCTTGTGACTTTAAGGGTGGTTATAATGTTAGGAGGTTGTTGCTTGTGAGCTAAATGGTGTGGGATAGAACGAAACCTATCCTTTCTTCGTGTCAAAGTGTGAGCCATCCTTGTGTCTTGGAGTTCTCGCTTTTGAGCTCCATTGAGGTTCTTACATAGGAGGAAAGTTATTAATAGAGAGCATTGTTCGTTAAGTGTAAAATTGGCATGTGTTTAGCTCTCTAGTACCCCCCCCCCCTCGAAAAAAAAGAAAAAACAAAAAGGAAAGTAGAAAAAGGAATCCAAAAAAGAGGTAATAAAACGGGGTAAATAAAAGTAGAGAGTTGCCACAAGAGTTTAAGTGTATGCTCTAGAAAAGGTTTATGGGCACTCAAACCATTGAAACACCTAAATTGCTTGATGACCTCTTTCACTACTATGTTTGAAATGTGAATAGCAAGAATAGGTCAATGAAGTGTGCTTGAATGTAGTTCGTGATTGGTAGTGGTTTGGAAGAAAGGAAGTGTGGCTTTTGGCCGATGCTAGTGGTTGTTTATTGTAGGAAAGTTTCTAGTAAGGACCTTGGAACCTTTGGTTTTATGTTGAAGATGTAGAACCCCATGCTATGTTTGCTACCACCCAAAAAGCCTTTTCCCCATGTCCAAGACAATTTCCAGTAATTTGAACCCGTGTCTAAGACCTCCGGACAGGCTAGTGATGACAACCATCCCGTGAACTCTAGCATTTAGAGGTTGCCGCTGTGGTGGAGAGACGATAGGGCTGAGTGTTGATGGTTGTGCACATCTTTTGCACCTAATGGTCCTAGCCCCTATGTTCATATCTTATCCCGGTGACGACCCTTGTCGCCCTTTCGTTTGTTCCTTGGACTTGAGTTCTATGCATGGTTAGTTGTGGTTGGTGAGTAGTCTGATCGATACTTGTTTTGATTTTTGAACAGGGTAAGAACTTTTCATTTGCACGTTCTTGATGCATTCGAATGTCGTTTGTGGTGGATACCAGTAATGCTTGTGACGGTTCACCATTTTGTACCTTTTGATTTGTCCCCAAGTTATTTTGTTAGGTTGAGATATCACATTGGTTGAAAATGGTTTGCTTGGACACAATCAAACGTCTAAGTGTGGGGGAATGATTCGAGCTTAATTGTATACTTTTTACCCTTGTTTTTCTTAGTCGTTTGAGGCAATTGTACTCAGGAAGGTTTTGTTTTACGCCGGTTTTTGTCTTGTTTTAGTGTATTTTAGACTTTAGCAGGTGGAACCAACCCTGGAGTCGAAAGTTGGATGAAACGACGCAAAATCAGGTCAAAGAGCAGGTCGTAAGACCGTGAAATGAGATAGTGAAACGACGCGTTTTGGCCTGAGATCATGGTCCCTGCCTTGAGTTCACGGCCGTGAACTAGGACCGTGATTTGAGCCCGACCTGGGTATATAAGAGGGCTTGAGCTGAAGAAACAGAAGGAGGAGACCTTGAGTGAGAAAACCTTCTTCTTCAACATTCTAGAGAGAGAAAGTGATGAGCAAGAAGAGAGAAGAAGCTAGGGTTTCACTCCAAGGCAAGGATTTGGGAAAATCTTCCCCAAAGGAAGGTCTCTTCTACACAAAGAAGGATTCAAGCATCTCCATGATGGTTTTTACTATTTCTCCTTGTGTTTTTCCCTCTCCTAGCATGGAGTAGTTTCCCTTTTCACTTGGGTGTTTGTGAACCCTAACTTCCACCATGTGATTGATTGTATGGAATGATTGTCTATGTGTGGGTGTGTTTTAATACGAATTTGGAGGTATTTTCATAGAAGATTGTGTTGTGTATTTGCCTATAAATCTATTTGCCATTCTAACCTAGGTAGAGATAAAACCCCATTTTGTTAAAGAGGCTTGTAAAGCTAGTTTTTCTTAGGCAAATCATGTCTCCTACCTAGGTTAATGTAGGGCATCCCTCCTTGTTTGTGTTGGCACCTAGGTTGATTGTTTTTTGGCCATCCAAATTCCGATTTGAGAGTGAAGGTTTGGTAGTCCTTAGTCGATTAGGCCAAGAAAGCCACCTTGGTACCTTAATCTGAATTCATTGGCCTAGAGACCGAAAGAGAGTGAAGGTTTGGTAGTCCTTAGTCGATTAGGCCAAGAAAGCCACCTTGGTACCTTAATCTGAATTCATTGGCCTAGAGACCGAAAGAGTGATGTTCCATCACTAGCTACACTTCCCTTACGGTTCTCAATCACCTCCACCATACATTTTCAGTCATTCCGACAAGTCATGGTAGCGAGTTAGGGCGAGCTACACACGGGTGAATCCTTCTCATATAAGAGTCAAAACCAATTACTTTTGCAACCGATTTAATATTAGATCGTAATTTCAATCAAACAACTAATCGCTAGATAACGTTTCAAATAATTGAAGTAGGGGTACTTGGACCGGCCCGAGTTGATATTTAAACATACTTTCCCTATATTGCACTCAATTAAGGTTTATACTTGGGCCCTAATTGGGAGTTTTATTGTGATATTCGGGACGAGTCACAAACCATACAAACAGTACAAACTAGAACGACAAAACATACTAAAACAGTTTTACAAACAATACAAAACATGCGAACTATACAAACAATACAAATTAGACCAACAAACAATAAAACCATAAAAAATGGAAAAACAACCAGTTTGACTTTTGAGGCTCCATCCCTATATAGAGGGGCACCGACCCAAAGTCAACCCGATTGATTTTTAGACATTCAAAAATTACAAACATGATGGTCAAAATTACAAAGTAGACCGAAAAACCATACAAAATGGAACAACACCTGGGTTGACTTTGGACGCTTCATCTCTATATAGAACAGTTTTGACCAAAAGTCAACCATGTTGTCTTTTGGACAAGGTTCAAAAAGGCTCTAGGCGTAAGGCGTGCGTTGAGCCTTTGCCTTGTGCCTAGCTCGCCTAGGGGTTGACTAAGCGTGCCTAGGCGTTAAAAGAAAATAATTATTCGCAATGCATGATGAATGAAATAATAATCTACAACACTTCCTCACTTCAGTTAAAATGATTAATAACTTACTCAACACTTAATGACAGGAATATAGCTTACGAGTTCATAGAATCATAGCTTAATAGTTCACAAAGTTCTTGAGCTATTGAAAATATTGCAATAGAAAATTGATTTCATAGTTGATGTTAATTTTGGTATTTAATATTGACTTTTTAGCTCCTTCTACTAATGTTTAGGAGAGACTTATATGTCGTCGTACTCCATTAACGTGTTCCAGTATCTAATTAGGCACGAAATCCCTAGGCGAGGCATTTTGTCATTGCCTTGCGCCTAGGCGTGCCTAAACGTAAGATTAAGCATGCCTTTTTGAACCATGCTTTTGGATATAAAAAATATTACAAACATGGTTGACAAAAATGACAAACATTGTGGACAAAAATAACAAATATTACAAAAGAAACCAACAAACATTACAAAGTTTACAAACATTACAGAATAAACCGGCAAACATTACAAAACATATTAACAGTACAAAATAACACTAATAACAATACAAATCGGTAAAATTGTATTACAAATCAATGAATACAAAGTGTACAAATCATAACATAAAATATACAAACTAAACTAACAAATATTATAAATCAAAATATATACAAACTAGTAATATAAACATTACAAACACAATAGAAAAAATAACAAACTAAAATGATAAACGATACAAACCGAATTGATATAAACATTACAAATTGGACTTATGAACATTACAAAATAGGTCGACAAACATTATGAATTCAGCACTGCCACCGAAAAATCCTCCTACGTCGTCTCTGGCTGCCGGAAAATCTCCCTCCGTCGTCGCCGGAAAACCTCCTCCGATGTTGCCGGAAAAAGCCGATTGGAGAAATCTCTCTCTCTCTCTCCACCTCCGCCAAATCCCCTCTCAAAATAAAAGGGCTCTCTCTATTCACTCGTAAAATAAAAAGGGGACACTAGCGGGAAGGGACGCCAGAATTATGGTCACGCATCTCTGGTCGGGCGAATCCCACGAAAGGGAAAAGGTAGCAGCCAGCCAAACTTGTTTATTTTTATTTATTATTTTATTTAAAAATTAAATATCATGTAATTACTACATTGCCCTTCATTAAATTAGATTAATTTGAGTTATTGAATTTTAATGAATTTGAAGGGCTGAGATCGACTTAGACAAGTGACTAAGGGTCCCCATTAGTCACCTGATCTTATCCCAGCTGGAGGCGCCATACAACAATAGCATCGGGGATTTTGACGTTCGCCTTAGTGGCCTCTCGGATCTTCTGAATACGAATTCCTTCTATGTCGATAACGTTCCCGATCTTACGCGGCGACACAACGATCCTAAATATGATATCTTGTCCAGCGTGGCGGAGTTTTTTGGTCGGTGCTTCCTTCTCATTCTCATTCTCGTCACCTCTACAAGCCATCATCTAAATCGTCGCGCCGGCGCAAGCACCTGTCCCCGGTGGGAGTAGGTTCCACCCAAATTCTCCCAGTTGCGCCATAAGTCATGGATAAATGATGGGCAGGTGCCGCTATTCCTATGAAGCGATCAGGTCAGTAACCATAGGGTCAGTAACCATGAGTACCCGTCCACATCAGCGTCACATTAACATCCCTCTCTCTCATGGAAAGCCTTTTCTTTTTTCCATTTTATTCTTTAACGGATGATATCTCTCTCGTTTTAAGTCGGAATTTAAATTTTTTTGCACATATAAATCACATTAATTGTGCTCTTTAAAATGATATCCACTATGATATATTTTTAGAACAAAAAAATTGATGCATTTTTTACTAGTCAATACCATATGGTATTAAATTGAAGCATACCATATGGTAAGAAAGCGTATCATGATGGTATGAACATACCAAGACTGTAGGAATGTTAAATACATGATAGTAGGAGTATACTAACTGTCATTTACGATTTTCATCATTGTTTACCACAAGTTACCACCCCCATACCAGAGTGGTAAAGTATGGTAAGTTTTGGTCATGTACTTTTTTCACCCAGAAATTTATAGATCCAAATAGATTATGACGATATCCAAATAGATTATGACGAACTCATTCCTTTTGAGCAAACGTTTTCAAAAACGACTTAAAAACAAAGAAGTTACCATATGGTATGGAGTTGTTAACGAGAGGTATGAAAAAAATTTCTCAAAAAATATTGAAAATTGATCTAATTTTATAGAGCACAACAAACTCGTTCCATCTGTGCAAAAAAAAATTGAAATTTGAGGTAGAACTAAGAAGATAAGGGCCAATTTGTAAGAGAATGGTATAAGATCCAACATAACCTTCTCTCAACTCCCAACAACTGAAGTAATTGGGACCAACTGGCTTATGACATGGTATCAGAGCTGATTTGTCTGTGAGGTCACGTGTTCAAGTCCTCACAACCCTCAATATTAACCGCTGTCTTTCAAGCACATGGTATGATGAGCCTGTGCAAACTTCAAGCCCATGAATCGACTTTCGTTTGAGGGGGCATGTAAGGAAGTGGTTAAGTACCATACATGGGCCTGTATAAGATCCAGTCTTTCGTTTGAGGGGACGTGTAAGAGAGTGGTATAAGATCTAGCATAACCTTCTCCCAACAACTCGAGTTATTGGAACCAACTGGTTTATGACATGGTATCAGAGCTGCTTTGGCCAAGTGGTTGTGTGTTCGAATCTCCACGACCCTCAATATTAACAGTGGACTAAAGCACAAGGTATGTTGGGGTTGTGCAAACTTCAAGCCCATGAGTTGCCTTTCGTTTGAGGGGGGGGGGGCATGTAAGAGAGTGGTATATGATCCAGTATAACCCTCTCCCAACAACTTGAGTTATTGAGACCAACTAGTTTATGACACGATTAACAAAACTAAGGAAAATAAAATGCTTTTAATTCTCCACCCTTAGATCTGAATTTTCTGGACCCACTTAAATCTGATGGCTGAGATTTAGTTACCTTCTCCCAACAACTCGAGTTATTGGGATTAACTGGTTTATGACACGATTAAAAAAACTAGAGAAAATAAAATGCTTTTAATTTCTCCACCCTTAGATCTGAATTTTCTGGGTCAACTTAAATCTGATGGCTGAAATTTGGTTACTCATTGGTCAGTAACCAGGTATTACTCCCGACCATATCCTAAGCCGCTATTCCTTGTTTCGAGTTTTTGACATTAGATTAGAAAGAACAGAAATAAAATAAAATAAAATAAAACAAAAATAAAATAACATGAAAGAATGAGAGTTGAGCTGAGTAGGGGTGTAGACAATCGGTAATCGACTTACTCCCTCACTCAACTCAAAGGTCGGACGGTTTGATCGCAATTAACCGATTTTCTCAGGTCAACATTGAGGGTTTCCCTAACTTAACCTATTTAGGTGGGTTAGAAAGAGGAAGGAAAACCAACTCGATTAAGTCTCTCTTGGAAGGGGGATTTTCCTCTCTAAGCTAGGCTAAGGTGGCTAATTAGATTGCTAGCACCAACATGCACAAACCTAAGGGTGCTAAGCACAATTATGCACAATCCTTAGGTTGCTAAGCACCTAAATGCACAAACCCAAGGATGCTAAGCACAACCCCTAGGTTGCTAAGCACAAGCATAAAAAATCATGATAAATAATGCCTCAATCATTGAATAGAACAATTCCGAATGACAATCATCCAATACACATAAAAGAAAACTACATGGTAGAGTTAGGGTTTCACAACACCCAAGTGAAAGGAGGTCTACTCCATGCTATAAGTGGGGAAACAAAAGGGAAAGAGGTGGAAACCATCTTGGAGGATGCTCCCAGTCTTCTTGGCCCTTGAGTTGAGCTTTCCTTGAAGGAAATCTTCCCAAAATATGCCTTGAAGCTAAACCCTAGCCTTCTTCTCCCTTTGGTTCGTGTTTCTCTCTCTAGAATGTTGAAGAAGGCTTTTCACAAAAAATGGGCTCCCCCCTCTCTCCTCCTTTCAGCTCATCATTTAAACCAGAGACGAGCTGAGTTCACGGCCTGAGTTCATGCCTGTGAACCACGAAACGCATCCGTGAACTTCAGGCGTGCGCCAAAATGCGCTGCATTGTTCACTTCTGTTCATGGTCAACTGCCTTTGTTCAAGGTATTATAGGCCGTGAACTCACCATGTGTCAGTAACCTTCATTTTGGTTGTGGACGCCTCGTGATTCACGGTCAAGGGCTCCTCTCCTCGGTCTTGCATGACTGTGAACTTCCTGGAAAATTCGTGAACTGGCCCTTTTTCACCTCTTCTTCTGGTTTTACATTCCTTTCACCCAACTTTTGACTCCGAGGCTGGTTTCACCTGTTGAATCCTGAAAGACACTAAAACACGAGGAACCTAGCGTAAAACCAACCTTTTAGGAGTGAAATTGGCACAAACACCTAAGTAAAACGGGGGCAAAACATGTACAATTAGGCCCGAATCACTCCCCTACACTTAGTCGTTTGCTTGTCCCCAAGCAAACCATTTCACACAAGGTAATATTTCAACCTACACAAATATTTTGGGGACAACTCAAAGGGCACAAAGTGGGAATTCTCAATGGTTATTGGCAATCAATACATGGACCGTTGCAAGCAATACCGACATCCACCACAAACGACATTCGAAGCCACCAAAAACAGGCAAACGAAAAGTTCTCACCTTATTCATGGATCAATGCAAGTCGCAACAAGACCACTTATCAATCACAACCGACCATGCATGGAATTCAAGTCCGGGGAACAAATGGAAACGCAACAAAGGTCCTCACCAGGGTATGATATGACATGCAAAGCAAGAATAAATCTCTCACTCTCAAGACCAGTGGGGTCGAGACCTTTTTGGTGCAAAAGATGTGCACAATTATAAACTCTCATAAACTCTTAGCCCTATCGTCTCAATACCAAGGCGGTAACCTCTAGATGTTAGAGTTCACGGGACGGTTGTCACCACTAGTGTAACATCCCAAACCTTTTCCCGACGAAGATATTGTCCGCTTTGGGCCTCGACCCTCACGGTTTTCGACTTGGGGTGAAATTCAAGGCGACTTGCCATGAGGCCACCCATCCTTGTTGTACTCCACATTGAGCACATTTAACTTCAGAGTTCTCACAAGAACTTCTCAATTTCACCCCAAAACGCGTCTTATCAGTTAAGGCCGGTTTCCTACTTATGAACCCTGGATATCTCTCGTGCTTTGTCGATGCGAGATTTGCCTAAGGTGTTACATGCACGAGTTCAGATGACTGGCAATTATCTTGGACATGGGAAAAAGGCTTTAAGGTGGTGGCAATCATGACGCGAGATTCTACATCTTTGACCTAAAGCCGAAGTTTCTATGGTTTCAACTAAAACCTCTCTTTTCAACCCAAGGCCACTAGCATCGGCCAAAATCCTTACCTCTCCTTTCCAAACTATCACCCATCGTGAACTACATTGAAGCGCTCTTCCTCGGTCTACCCTTGATAGCACATTAAGGTTTGGTAGTGAAGGATTTCTAAAATAATGTGGGGAGTTTCGATGGCTTTGGTGCCAAGAAACCCCTCCTAAAGCATGTACTTTGGTTTTTCGTGGCACTCTCTACTTTATCTACCCCATTTTGTTACCTCTTTTTCGTTTCTCTTTTCTTTCTTTTTTTTCTTTTTCTTTTCGAGGAGGTTACTAGAGAGTAACAACACTTGCCACCTATACTTTTAAAGACCATTGCTATCTTTTTGAAGAACTAACTCCAACACTACACTTCATTTTTCTCAACCCTAGCAAGGACCGCACACGAACCTCCTATGTAGAACCTCTATGGAAACTGAAAGGTGAGAGCTCCGGGACACAAGGATGAATCATATTTAGACACGAAGAAAGGATTGGGGTTGTTCTATTAACACCACTAAGCTCACACGCACGAAGCTCCTAAATCGAGAACGACCCACGAAGTCACATGGCTCAAAGGGGTTGACTAAAGGATGATTCATTTTGGGACAATCAACATTTGGCCGTGGACTAATCCTATGCCTCCATCATACTTACTAGTGACAACTTGTGATGCTACACACCGTGGTAAGAGGGAACTATCACACCGAAAGAAAACGATCGGCTCAAAGCTCACAAGCTACCTAGTTACCCAACCATCTATTAGAATTCACAAACACGATGCATGGCAATTGTAAGCAATTAGTGATCAAGTCAAGACATCCATTCATTTATGCACACATGAGAGCTAAACTTTTGCCCTATCCTAATGAACTTCTCAGTCATCATCATAGGATATACTCGATCACATGCAACAAGTTGAGATCAATGGCAAAAAAAACAAGAGAATTTTCCACCATCCGGCCACTTTGCTCATGCAAACATTGCTTGGAGACCTCAAAATTTTGAAATCTGGGCATGCAAAAGGCTCCAAGCATTAATCACACTCACACAAGCGTACTAGTAAGCTAGCCCCCCC